GCTAGGCGTACCTACTTCTGTAAATTATGCTAAATATTTACTGCAGCAAAGCAACCAGGAAATATTTCTGAATAATTATTGTAGTTTTTATCTCCTTAATGATTTTATGTTTACCTTTTACAAAATTTGCTGTTACTTGCAACAGTGTGTGACAGTGCTGTCATGGTTTCAGAAGGGCTAGTTGTCACCAAGACTCCTCCTTTATGCAGGATGAGGGGTTCTGGGATGTCTGTTCTGAGTGGTTTGGCAGTTTGGTAACTTATCCACAAAAAAAGTTCAAACACTCCACCTCCCAGGCAATAGTACATCTAATGGCGTTGAGGTAATTCTTTGCCCAATGTAGCCATCCTCACATTGGGAAATCTTCAACAAACAGTAAAAAACACACAGGAGGGCACAAATGCCTAGTGCATTACCACCATAAATGTTTGTTGGAGCCAAAAGACAATAGTATACTCACAAACATAGTAAGGAACATTTCAAATATCAACTTTAGCCATGAGGCGATGGCATCTGACAAGGTATGACAGAGTTGGATGGCTAACACAATTTGGGGTACATGCCTCTTTTTTCAGAGCTAATCTGACCAAGTGAAACACCACATCTTAAAAGCTCACATATCACAGATCACCTCCCCCCTCAACAAGTGTGTGGAAGGGGCTAAAGGATGTGAAACTCTCTCCAAAATATACAGACTTTCTATTTTTACTGCCTGACCTGCTCTTTTAGGGCTCCTTAACACTAGTGTTTGGGTGAGAATGCAGCAAAATCTTGTGATTTACTCTCCCCCAACTGCTCCCCCTTTAGCTGCAGAGGCAGTAGGGGGGTGAACATACGCCACGGCCATGATGCCTTGCTTCATGACCACAGCAGGAATTACACTTCCTATTGATTTTGGTTGGTGCTGCCCTTCAAGTGCATGGGGCCACTCTGCACCCAGAGTTTATGTGGGTATTTATTGGAAGACACCATCATGGGCAGGTGAGGCAAAGAGAAGGGAGTTTCACATCTTTTGCAGTTTTAATCCCACCCACACACTAATTGTGGGGTGAAGTGCTCTGCGATGTGTGAACATTTAAGATGTGGTGTTTGACTTGGTTGGATTAGCTCTGAAGAAGTGGGCATGCCCCCGAAACACATTAGCCTTCCAAATGTATCACACATGGTCAGATGCCTCAAGGCTAGAGTTGATGTTTGAAGTGCTTGGTCCTTACTAAGTTTGCGAGTATACAATTGTCTTTTGGACCCAATAAACATTTATGGCAGTAATGCACTAGGTGTTTGCACTCTCTCTCAGAATTGGTAACACCTGATTTGGATCCACATTTTAATGGAAGGCAGCATCCTGACTGTACAGATGTACACAGGCTTTTTAGTATAGAAGCTGTCTATAGTTCAAGCTGCTGCATGAGCACCGTGTGTGAACAAGTCCTGGGAGAGTGACCGTTCTGGTGTCAAGAATGGTTTACACCAGATGCAGTCCAGTGCATTTTTATTTTGCAACAAAAATGGATGGACATGGTTTAACATGGATTCCAATGGCCCTAGTTCACACCAGTGCAGTGTGTTCCAGTGCAGTCAAACAGAAAAGTAGAACATGTTGCATTTATTCTGTATGGAACATATTTGAAAAACATAAAAAATGCACCTGAACACACACATGTCCTGAGTTAAGATGAAGAAAAAGAGAGAAGAATAAATGCACTAGAATGCTTCAAAAATGCATCAGACGAAAAAAAAACAAAAAACGCATACACAAACACATTTGGAATGCAGAAACTGTGGTATAAACCAGCCCTCAAGCAGAGGTGATCTGACTTAGCCATTCCCTGAGAGAAGTTTTTGTTTGTATGTAATTGTATGTAATTAGGCAGGAGCCTGGGCAGCCCAGGTTAGCCCAGGTTAGGCATGTTGTTGGTCATGGAGCTGGATGAGATAACGTGGTAAGTCTGTGCGGAGACAGGCTCAGGGACTGTGTGCTCTGGAGAGCCCGTAGGCTGGAAAATTTATATTTTTTCCTTGTCATGCCCAACACCCCTGCAAGGGAAACCTTTTGTGTGTTTTTGAACTTTACTTTTAAACGAAAGTGGGCAAAAAGCCCTGAAACATACTTCGCTGAACCAAAGTTCTTGATAGGTGCCACACTTGAGTGACCACCACTCCAAGTGTTTAAAGATTTTATTCTTAAGTAACATTTACAGGTCTCCTTCTCCCTCTCACTCTGTGACTAGACAGCAAAATGGAGCAGCAGAAGACTGATGAGGAGTGAGTCACTTTACTCTCTCCTTGCACCCTCCTTGCACTGCAGTTCACGTTCTTGGCTCCCCCACTGCTTCTTTCTCCCCTTCTCTGAGGTCTGCTGTACAAAGCCTGCTAGAGGCTGATACTAGGTCACATTCAGGTACTTACAATTCGTACATTAAAAAAAATAACTTAATTGTTTATGAATAATAACACAGCTGTAGTCATTTGTGTCTTTTGTGCCTGGAATTCCGCATTAATGTACTTATGACCTTGAGATTAATGTATATAGTGTTTTAAATGATTTATAACATTATTAAAAAATAAAAAAGGTTAAGTATTAAGTAAATAAGTATTGTTTTTTAGAGGCTGTTATTTCTTGAACATCTAATTTCACATTGTCAGCTCCTTAAAGGCTACTAGCAGCTTTCAAGACAAAATGAAGGTAACAGGTGGCATAGTGTAACTGGTTTTCAACTGGCATTGTAGCTCCTTTTCTATAGCTCAGCTTTTTTTTGTAATTAGTGCACTTTTGCGTAAATTACATGATTTTTAATGGAATGTACTCATTCTGAATATTTCAAGAAGAACCATAAACATGATCTCCGATCACAATGAATGGCACTAACAGGACAGCCCCTTTGTTAACAGATGACCGTTTACTATTTTCTTTTCAAAACGCTATCATATAATGACATAGTATGGTCAAAAATATCAGGGTGTTTCGAGGAATCTCCCATTACAGACAAGTGAATTTCTACCTTTTATTTGGCAAACCGACCTGGATTTTTTTATTTTCAGTATACATTTCACAGTGATACCTCCTATAAAACTGCAGTGTTCTCCAGCAGTCTCCTCTATGGCTTCTCGCCAAGTTACACAACAAACAAATTGATGAAAAGAGAGGGACCTGCACATAGCTATGTATATAGATCTGTTAGCATATTACTAGCCACAGAGATTGGTAGGAATGGAGAATGGGTCTTTAGCACTTTTGCGGAGTTTGGCATTTTTAGGCGTTGTATGGGCAAATTAGCTTTTAAATGGCAGTGCCTGACAAGTGCTTAATTTGCAGAGAACAGATAAATGTTTATGTCATTTGGTTCATACATTCTTTTTCAAACCACTGCAGTTAACATTTACCTAACATTAAATGCATTTTGGATTTTTTGTTTATGTATCTTGCTTGTGCTGAAAAATACATGAAGTCCTGTTTCTGTGTGATAAACCATTTTTCTGGCCGCTACCATAATCTACTTCAAGGCTAGTTTTACATATATGTATTTTTTAGTGCATTTGCAGATCCACAAAAACACATAACAATCCATGTAACCATTTTATATGAGCCCCGTTCACATCTATGCAGTTTTATGCAATGGGTATTTTTTTTGAAAGGTGCAGGTGGGTTTTTTTTTACAAGTAGCAAGGTGCATTTTTGGCTTCATAGACTTCAATTGAATTGCATGAAAAACACATGTACTTGTGTTTTTGGTGAGTTTTCCTGCATGACAACAGACACCTCCTCCTAGAAACACCAACACTTGCATTAAAAACACACAAAAAAATGCAGAATGCACTAGAAAATGTGCCACAAAAATCAATCACATATGCATAGAAGTGAATCTAGACTTAAAGTAAATCTTTGAAAAACTCAGGACATTGAAAAAGTTTTGGCCAAACTGACTATTAAAACTATTGGGAGACCCCAAAATATAGAGAGCTGAAGTTTTAGGTAAATTTCAGTGTTTCCTGCAAATGTCCCACATAAAGCTTTCTACCCCAGGCCTTCCTACTAATCCTTTAATGTAATGGGTGCCTTTACTAGAAAAAGGTGGAAGGGGCAGGAACAGACTCTACTTGTACACTTGGCTGCATTTCAATCCCCCCACCGCTAACTTAAGTCCCCTTAAATTAGTAATATACTGAAAGTATATGGGCAGCACAGTGGCTAAATGGTTAGCACTTCCGCCTGGCAGTACTAGGGTCGTAGGTTCGAATCCCATCCACGGCACCACCTGCCTGGAGTTTGCATGTTCTCCCTGTGCCTGCGTGGGTTTCCCCCGGGTACTCCGGTTTCCTCCCACACTCCAAAGACATGCTGGTAGGTGAATTGGCTCCTGTCTAAATTGTCCCTAGTATGTGTATGTATGAATGTGAGTTAGGGACCTTAGATTGTACGCCCCTTGAGGGTTAGGGACGGATGTGAATGTACAATATATATATGTAAAGCGCTGTGTAAATTGATGGCGCTATATAAGTACCTGAAATAAGTAAATAAATAAAGTATGGCATTATATGATAACTGCCAGCGGTAAAGCTGAACTCCAGCCTTACCTTCAGTCTTGCATTGTTGTACAGGCTCCTCTCCTGTACTGAATTTGCTTACTCTAATTTCCAGAATCATTCAGCTCCCTCCTCCACAGCCTTACTGTCCATGGTACACCCACCTGGATGGGCAGCACAGTGACTAGCACTTCCACCTGGAAGCAGTAGGGTCATAGGATTAAATCCCAACCACAGCACTACCTGCCTAGAGTCTGCATGTTCTCTCTGTGCCTGCGTGGGTTTCCTCTGAGTACTCCGGTTTCCTCCCCCACTCCAAAGACATGCGGGTAGGTTAATTGCCCCTAGTATGTGTATGTATGAATATGAGTTAGGGACCTTAGATTGTAAGCTCCTTGAGGGTTAGGGACTGATGTGAATGTGCAATATATATTTAAGGTGCTGCATAAATTGATGATGCCATATAAGTACCCGGAATAAAATAAATACATTGGATTTAAGTTCTATATACAGTGGTTCAATCATGGAGGTTCAACATCTCATGCATGTGTTTCCTAACACATGACTCCATAACTCTCATCCACTCATCCAAGCATTTTGATATTTCCATAACCCCTCTCAAGGGCCATACTGCTGCTTGCATCAAGACTGAGGGCTCTGAAAGTGATACTAAAGGTTCAGATGATTTTTCTTTTTTTTAATAACAAACATGTCATACTTACCTGTGTTGTACAATGGTTTTGCACACAGCAAAACCATTGCACAACAGCCGCCTCTGCTTCTTTATAAGACACACAGAGAGTGGCTTGGCTCCCTCCTCACTGGCTGTGATTGACAGCAGTGGGGGACAATGGCTCCCACTGCTGTGTCTGAGCCAATGAGGAGGGAGAGACCCAGGAGAACTACTGCTCTTGTGCACATCGCTGGATCATGAGCGGGCTTGGGTAAGTATAGGGGCGGACTGGGGGGGCAACTGCACACTGAAGGTTTTTTTTTTACCTTTATGCATAGAATGAATGAAGGTAAAAAGCCTTCAGCCATTACAATCACTTTAAGAGAAGTAGTGAAGAGTGCTGTGAAGTTTTACATAGCATATAGAAGCATGAAGACCCAGTTTTGCAAGATTTGCAATGAAAAAAGAATAGTTTTATTTAAACATTTCATTAGAACATTTGCGAAAGAAGGGTGGCAATAAAAGGCAAAATATAAGCAGATTAAACTTCAGCTTTAATACCTTTAAAAACAGATTTCAGTATTTGAACTGCTTTTTATTTCACATGCCTTTATTTATACCTCTCTCCACATTTAAATGCAGATCAGGCTATCTAGAAACTTGATAGTGAGAGGGACTGGGGATTAAATTATAGACCATAGTTGAATGTATGGAAACGACTTGACAATCAGACTATCTATCTCTTTCCTCCTCAATACACACATAATCCTGCATGCTTGTAACCCATAATCATGCATGTTCATGTGGACAGAAGAAGATTCAGTTGCTGAATATTAGGCTATGAAAGGAAATTTTCTAGCCTGGCTTGAACAGTTTTCCCCTGCCAGGGCATTTTACAATTAATATAATACCACTGTAACCAGGAGCTACATACAAGCTCGGTATAGCAAAACTGTGCTATCCAAGTGTGTGCTATTCAACACACATTCCCAAGTGTTTGGGTTCATGCACAAAACTGATTAGGGCTGTACACTCCCCAGATCAGTGTATTTATGTGGCAGGTATGGCCAGGTTTTTCTGATCAGCCATGAATAGGAAACCCGTGCAAATAATCGACATGTGGATACTGTCCACAGCTGTTGACATGTAAGCACAGATGGAGCGATTACCTGTGGTTAAGGACACATCCATCTCTAACCGTAGGTAATTGCTCCATCTGGGGTTACATGCAGACTATGGACAGCCATGGACAATGTCAGCCTGTCATTGGTTTGTGCAGGCTTCTTTTCCATGGCTGATCAGAAACACCTGGCCTTACTTGCCACAGAAATACATTGATCTGTCCAGTGTACAGCCCTAATCAGCTATGTGCATAAGTCCCAAATCACACAAAAAATATAACTGTCCCATGTGGTTAAAAATACATTAAGCAACTCTTGAAATGTCATGGTTTAAGAACACCTTGTACAATCTGGTAAAGATTATTTTCTGTCAGTGACCTTGTGGAAAAATGCAAATTAACTTAAGCACAGGATAGCTGACTTTCTGTGCCAACTTAAGTCAGTTTTCTGCAGCAAAATACATTAGCACCATTTAGTAAGAGCAAATCCCATTCTCTTCTTTCTGAAATAAAAACCATGCAATTCATCAGACCAGAGAATTATATTTTTGCATATTTTTTTTCTATTATTTGTCTTTAGAGATGGCAAATCCTTAGCTAGCAGTATGATTTATCCCTAAACTACTATCCTAAATCTTTCATAAAATAATAATACACATTATACATACAGTCAGTAGAGCTATATTAAAGAGTATCTAAACTGAAGAGCAAACATTTAATATACTGTAGCATACCATAGTGTACCACCATCAAAATACTTGGTTTATTTAAAACAAACAATTACATTCACAAACACAAATTAAAAGCAAAGCCTCCCAATAACTCAGTGTGGTGACCCTCTCTGCCCTGCCACATAGGTGGCAGCACTGTTATCCAATCACCAGCTTGCTCAGAACCTCACACACGCTGTCTGATTCCTTCCTGATGCATTTCGTCATTACAGAGGCTTCTTCTAGAGCAGGGGTCTCCAAACTATGGCCCTCCAGGTGTTGAGGAACTACAAGTCCCATGAGGCGTTGCAAGATTCTGACAACCACAGGCAAGACTCCCAAAGGCAGAGGCATGATGGGACTTGTAGTACTTCAACAGCCATAGTTTGGAGACCCCTGTATCTAGAGGGACCCTTTAAGGATAAACAGACTACTGTGGATATGATTTAGTACCAACTCATGGGGCCCCCGGAAATAGGGGATCATGGGGCCCGTGTCCTTGCCCAAACTCAAAAAAACCTATGAAAAAGGTACCAGGGGCATCTCATGGGGCCCCCTACTGACCCCGGGCCCTCGGGCAGTGCCCGAGTGCTCAAATGGTCAGTCCATCCCTGGTTAGTACTCAACGTCAGGGGAGTAGCCATCAACTGTAAAAATAGTTCCTATTAACAACTTTCGGGAAAGGGGTCTTCAAGAACATTACCAAAATACGTTAAAAACAGTTGCAGACTACAAAATTTAAAAGGTGTAAAAATATTTCATAATATTTAAAAAAAAATCTTCCCAGTAACAATTTTTTTTGCAAAAAATATATTGCACACATCATTGGATGTAAACAAAGTATGGCATGATGTATGGATATGATAAGCTGCAATACAATATTTGGTGTTAAAAATGTCAACACTTAAAGAGGAAATCAACTAGGAAAAACATAAGGAGCAGTGCCTGGATAGAATATTTGTACAATATACTCCATTTAACTGACCATTTCCTAAAAGGGTAGCAGATTAAGAAATAGTGATGTGAACAGTAATTAAAGCACTGTGTGAATTTCGGGGCCTATACTACATAAATGCCTGTAATAAGTACATACAGTTGCAAGAAAAAGTATGTGAACCCCTTGGGATTACGTGGAGTTTTGCATGAATTGGGCATAAAATGTGCTCTGAACGTCATCTAAGTCACAACAATAGAAGAACACAGTCTGCTGAATATAATATAATACTATGTGTGGAGAAAAAAAGGCCCAGCACACCAACATCGAAACCTCATCCCCACTGTAAAACATGGCGGAGGGAGCATCATGGTTTGGGGCTGCTTTGCTGCCTCAGGGCCTGGACGGATTGTTGTCATTAATGGGAAAATGAAATCCAGAGTTTATCAAGACATTTTGCAGGAAAACATACGACCATCTGTCCGCCAACTGAAGCTCCGCAGAGGATGGGTGATGACACAGGACAATGACCCAAAGCATACACGTAATTCAACAAAACAATGGCTGCAACAGCACAGAATACGCCTTCTGGAGTGGCCCAGTCAGAGTCCTGACCTCAACCGGATTGAAATGCCGTGACATGACCTTAAGAGAGCGATTCACACCAGACATCCCAAGAATATTGCTACACTGAAACAGTTTTGTGAAGAGGAGTGGTCCAAAATTACTCCAGATCGTTGTGCAGGTCTGATCTGCAACTACAGGAAACGTTTGGTTAAGGTTATTGCTGCCAAAGGAGGGTCAACCAGTTATTAAGTCCAAAGGTTCACATACTTTTTCCTCCCTGCACTGTGAATGTTTACATGTTATGTGCAATTAAACCATGGCAACATCTAATGTTTGTGTAGTATTATGTTCAGCAGACTGTGTTCTTCTATTGTTGTGACTTAGATGACGTTCAGAGCACATTTATGCCCAATTCATGCAAAACTCCAAGTAATCCCAAGGGGTTCACATACTTTTTCTTGCAACTGTATATTGATATGTCATGCACACATCTCTATGCAGTCAGAGATCTGATTACTCACTATGTGTTTCTCAAACTGAAAGCTCATTTGTGGGTTTCCTGGTCGGTATTTTTCCATTACAATGAGGTCTCTTTGATTGGCGTGCACTCTGTGGACATGTGCTGCATGAATCACACCACTGCTTGAACTACCATCAAGATGGGAAACCATCACCATGGCATTTCAACTATTCTTATTGAAATACAATTCAAAATATCATGCAAGAGAAAACAGTATTTCAAACATTTCTCAGAAAAATACTTTTGTGTTAGGGACATGCTTGTCTCATTATTGGGTTCTGCTTTAAAGCAACTATATAATTAGGGCTAAGTAAGCAAAATAATAAAGCCATTGTAAAACATTACTTTGAATCCTATTACTGGAGCACAACAACAAAAATTATATGCAAATTAATATACTATTTCTAGTAAAAATATTCTTTAAAAATATTCAAATTTGTGTCTTGTCCACATAATTAGCAGATCAGTCATCAGAATGACAGTAGACTAAAGGAGAAAAGGGCAGCACTAAAAGCCAATCAGGCTTTGCTACGTGCACATGTGCTAACATGAAGCATGCTTTCAAGAAGAGAGCAGAGTAAGCAGAATTATTGATGTATGTGTGTGTTGGTTCTCCTTCATTGCTTAGTGAGCAGATTGCAGGCAAGGAAATGACAGTACTGTACTCCTTAAAGCAGAACTACACTGCATCTGAGCTCTGCATACCAAAAACCTTATTTCATTCATTTTTTATATTCAAAGCAAACTCATCCATCCATCCCTATCTCCATACTTTATTTTGTTGGGAAATCAGTTTGAAAAACACCCCCTTGCCTTTCTGGCTGTGGCCATGTGGGGAAAGGGCAGATGAATCATGTAGAATTTACTTCCTGGAATCCATCTGCCCTTAGCTCAGGCATGCAGACAGGAGGATGTGCTTAACTGAGAAACCCCTTCCTCCCTTCCTGAAAACCTTATTTCATTCATTTTTTATATTCAAAGCAAACTCATCCCTCCATCCATATCTCCATGCTTTATTTTGTTGGGAAATCAGTTTGAAAAGCACCCCCTTGCC